GAGCCACCTCGTTCACCAGATTTAAATCCGTTAGATTTTTGGTTTTGGGGACATTTAAAACAAATTGTTTATTCTGAAGACGTTCAAAATGTGCAGGATTTGAAGAATAAAATTAGTAACGCATTTGACACAGTAAAACAAATTCCTGGTATCTTTGAACGCATTAGAAGTTCATTTAGAAAACGTATCCGTTTGTGTTTAGAAGTAAATGGTGCGCATATTGAACATTTATTATGACATGAATCTTTTCCAATTTGTTAAATATTCGTTGTTTTTATGCTGGTTGAACGATTTTCTTCGACAATCTTTGTTACTTGTTTTGTTAAATTATTAATGAACTGTATTAATTAACTTAATATTATCTTATTATTTATTAAACTTTATCTTAACCATCGTAACCATGGTAATCATATAATTACTGCATCTAAATCGTTAGAATTAATGATGTTTACAATAGGTCAGCTTATGAAACTAAATTTTGAATATCTCGAAATTGGTCCATTTTCGGACCTATGTTTATTAGACTTTTCTTGTCTGTTTTCGATCAGAGAATACGCTGATGCAGTATTGTACAATCGTTGCGGGACACCCTGTATATATTAATTTTTTTCTCTTTCAAGGCTCTAACTGTATTACTCCTTCCTACACTTCCGGACGATGCATTAACATTTACCAATGTCAGCCGATAATGAATGTTTTGAATAGCGGAGGTTTAACCAATCAATTCAAAGAGGAATTGAAAAAATACTATTGCGGATTTGATACGAATCCAAAAGTATGTTGCCCAAACTACGAGATTACTCCTCAAGCTGATCCTAATGATAATGGAAGTTTATTACCAACAGATGGCTGCGGTGAAGCTGAAGCACTTAGCAGAATAACTAATGGTGATAAAGCTGATTTATTGGAATTTCCATGGCAAGTTGCTCTAAAATACGTCTCGAGTAAGATAAAAGCTAAAATATAAAAAGAAAATGTTATTTAAATTAGATGTTTTTAGAAAAAGCTATTCCATATAGTTGCGGAGGATCATTAATCAATAAAAGATATATTTTAACTGCAGCTCATTGCATAACATCAAAATTGTATTTTTTAAAGATTATTTAGTGAATTTTTAATAAAATTGGTTTATTTTAGAATTGGCGCTCGATTAGGTGAATACGACTTTGCAACGCCCATTGATTGTGTTTCAATAAGAAATATTACAACTTGTGCTCCTCCGCATCAAGATTTTGATGTTACTAGTAATGATGCTAAGATTCATGCAGAATATAACAAGAAACCTTACGAGCACGACATAGCATTGATTCGTTTACCAAGAGATGCAATAATAAACCGTAAGATAAATATCAAAAATCACTTAATTTATGTGAAAATAACATGTTTTAGGTGCTGTTAAACCAATTTGTTTGCCCATAAATCAAAATTTAACACCTAAATTTCTGAATAATCTTCTCGTGGTCGGTTGGGGACGGACTGAATTTAGTAAATAGACTTAAATGAAATAAAAAGCAGAATTAATTCAAATAATATTTTTAGGTGGTCAAAGTACTGTTTTACTAAAAGCAGCAGTTCCATTACAAGGGAACGATATTTGTAACAAACGTTATAGCCCCATTCCAATACAAGATACACAATTTTGTGCTGGTGGAAAAGATGGTAAAGATTCTTGTAACGGCGATAGTGGCGGTCCTATTATGACTGTGGTAAATGTTGATGGTATAATCAAAACCGTTCAAGTCGGATTGGTTTCAATTGGACCAACTAGTTGTGGCTTAAAAGACTTCCCAGGTGTTTACACAAAACTGACATCATATACCAAATGGATTTTGGATAATATTCAACCTTAAAATAAAATAATCTTTAAATATATCATTATCGATTATATGTATCAATTTTAATTTAACATTTTTTTTTAATAAAATGTATGCAGCACTCAATTTGTATTGAAAGTTAAATTAATGAATTACTCACTTTAGCTCTTAGAAACACATTTTTTTCAAAAAATCTATCATTATGTTGTTTATAAATCCGTATACTGGGATGTTATGTATAATTTAGCAATTCAATTATCCTATTACATGTCCATTATCAATAAATCGATCACTAATTCTAGTGGTTTTCAAATCAAATATGTAGTAAATGACATCATTGAACTATTCTCAAGAACTGTTTATCACGTCAAATTTTGAAATATGTAAAAGAATAAAATAGGCAATAAAATGAATATGCATTTTGTAAAAATTCCCATGGAAGGTGCGCAAGTAGGTATATAATCAAACGTTGCTTCTATTAGAAGTAGTGTGAGATTCTCATCACCCAGTTGAAAATGAAATTATTCGCGATTTTATTTCTTTGTTTTATATCTAACACAAAATCTCAACAGTTTCAACGTAAGTGCATTATTTTAATTTAAACAATTAACTATATCGTTTATTTTATTTTAAGAACCATCATGCATCAATCCATCTGGTGACAGCGGTCGGTGTATTAACATTTTTGATTGTAAACCAATAATGATCATACTCAATAAAGAAGTGATAACGGACGAATTAAAAGTTGAATTAAGAAAATATTTTTGTGGATTTGATGGAGCGACAATTAAAGTATGTTGTCCAAACAAGGAAATTTTTTCTAAATCGGATGATTCTGAAAATTTGCTACCAATAGATGATTGCGGGGAAGCCGTATCCGTGGCAAGAATAACTAGCGGGGAGAAAGCTGAGTTATTAGAATTTCCTTGGCAAGCTGCGCTAAAATACGTATCTTGTAAAATATAAAAAATCTTCAAATATATATTTATTAATTTATTTTAAATGTTTCAGTGAAAACTATTCCATATTCTTGTGGAGGAACTTTAATTAATAAAAGATACGTTTTAACAGCGGCTCATTGCATAAAACCAACCTTGTAAGTTTTTGTTATAATTTTAATGTAATTACCATTAACGTGTTTTTTAGAATTGGCGTTCGTTTAGGTGAATATGACTTTTTAACGCCAACTGATTGTATCAAAATAAGAAATAGCACAATTTGCGCTCCTCCCCCTCAAGATTTTGATATCACACGATCGGACGTAACAGTTCATTCTCAATACAAAACCGCAATTACAGGTTATGATATAGCATTAATTCGTTTACCAAGAGATGCAGTGTTTAATGGTAAGATATTAATAAATATAATCAATAAAAATAATATCTCAAATTTTCTAATTAGACGCTGTTAAACCAATTTGTTTGCCAATAAACAAAGATCACACACCTGATGATCTTAGAAATATGCTTGTAGTCGGTTGGGGTCGCACCGAATACGGTAAATATAGTTATACTTATAAAGAAATGAACATACTTAAACATATTTTTAGAAAAGTTTAGTACGGTTCTTCTTAAAGTCTCGATTCCATATCAAGAAAATGATGTATGTAATCGGATATTACCCGTTAGGATTCAGGACAATCAATTTTGTGCTGGTGAAATAGATGGTAGAGATTCTTGTAGTGGTGATAGCGGTGGTCCAATTATGACAGCTGTTAATGTCGATGGACGCCTCAAAACTGTTCAAATTGGATTAGTATCGTATGGACCACAACGTTGTGGAAAAGATTTTCCAGGTGTATATACCAGATTAAGTTCATACACCAAATGGATTTTAGATAATATAAAATCCTAATTTTGTGTTATATCTTCGTTATCATAGTGGCGTCCTTGGTGTTAATCAAAGAATACAGATTCATATACAGGGTGTCTCAGCTAGACCGGTCATTAGACGTTTCTGGGGTTCTGGCGAAAATAAAAATTTGAGAATTCAGACTTAAGTATTATCAATTACGATCTCTTCGTCTAAAATATTTTCAGATTTCTTGCACTTCCGGTTATACCGGAAGTCGCCACCAACTTTATTTTTTTAAATGGAACACCCTGTATATTTTTACATATTTGGATTTGTCTGTTTTCAAGGTTTATAAATAACTTTACTTTTTGCAATTTGATTCGGTCGTTCTCGAGTTATTCGAATTTTTCTAGAAAAATCTGCTCCAGCAGACATTTGTTCAAAAAATCAGAAAACACTCAATTTTTGGGATATCAATTTAGGATTGAGAACATGCTTAAGCAACATGATGGAGTATGTTTTGGTGCCGAGAACTGCGGTCTAGAACGTTTGATCACTTTACTATGGCACGTTAACTTTTCAAAATTTGGAAGTACCATAACTTCATTTTTTTAAATGGCACCCCCCATATTTTATTTTTTAGTCGTCTTCGGTGTCTCATTCTACATCTTTTATATCCCATATGGCCCATACCTAATATTAATAGTTTGGGAGATAATTAGGGTTTTTTGAAAAATGCACACATATCATATGGATATTTAGCCTAGTGTGCCATGAAAAACAAGCCTTCTCAATGAGTTCTTGTCAAAGACTCACTTGTTTACGTCACTTGATGCATGTGAGCTAATAATTATCTGTTATGTCCCTTAATATTAGTACTGAAACGAGTTAAAATCGATAACAATAACGAAAGTAATATTTACACAAATCAAGAAATTCTTAATTTATTTTTTTTGCATGAAAAGCGCGACAAAGTTCGTAGTATGATTCCCAGATCTTCTTTGGCAGCTCGAATTGAGGTGTTGGGACTGGGCTCGAAATAAGCCAAGGTATTCACCTCTTCCGTTGCATTATCTACTACATTTTTTGGTCAGTTTAACACGTGATTAATTCGTCCAAAATGCAAAAAATTTGCTTCTATTCCTCTAAATTTACCTTTTGTCATCGGAGATAAATGTGGATAATTTTCATTAAACATTCTGCAAGTTCTACTAAGAACTTTGTCGCACTTTTCGTGCACAAAAAATAAATTATGGATTTCTTCATTTGTATAAACATTATTTACGTTATTAATATCCATTTTAACTGGTTTTAGACTCACAAGCATCAAACAACCTAAATTAGACTTTGACGTTTATCAATAAGTCATTAAACATTTGTTTTCCATGGCACACTAGGTTAATATCCATATGATATGTGAGCATTTTTCAAAAAACCCTAATTATTTCTCAAACTATTAATGTTAGGCATAGGACATATGGAATATAAAAGATGTAAAATGAGACGCCGAAGACGACTAAGTAATAAAATATGGGGGGTGCCATTTAAAAAATGAAGTTATGGTGCTTCCAAATGCCGCTGGAGCAAATTTTTCTAGAAAAATTCGAATAACTCGAGAATTGCTGGTTCAAATTGCAGAAAGTAAAGTTATTTATAAACCTTCAAAACAGACAAATCCAGATATGTAAAAATATACAGGGTGTTCCATTTAAACAAATAAAGTAGGTGGCGACTTCCGGTATAACCGGAAGTGCTAGAATTCTGAAAATATTTTAGATGAAGAAAACGTAATTGATAACACTTAAGTCTGTATTCTCAAATTTTTTGTTTGGCCAGAACCCCAGAAACGTCTAATGACCGGTCTCGCTAAGACACCCTGTATAAAACAAGTTCTTACTACTGGTTTCTCGCTGTTACATTCTTTCATTTTCCAGATTAACCTCAACATTCAAAATTGTTCTTTCTATAATATGCTTACCACTTTTTATCACGCTTGTATCCTTGACTTGATAATATTTAGATCTTAAATTTAATTTTTGTAATTTTTTTTATGAAATTATAATAAAAGTGAAATTATGCAGGAAGGTTTTGTGTTATTTATTCATTCAAAAACCTGGAATTTTTGTATAATTTGATAATAAATAAGTATTAATACGAATACCTTATCTGTATCCATTAACTATCCGGTTTTAACGTCCTAGTCAAATTAGTTTGGTGTAAAACGGAAAAAAATAATTCTTTTAAAACAGGTTTTTTGCAAGCGTTCCTACAAGGTTCTTCGCTATATAAACAACGTCCACTCGAGATTCTGTAACATTGATTCGAAAATAATCATGGAGTTAAAAACAAACTTAATTGCGCTTTTATTGTGTTATTTCATATCTCATTCAAAATCACAGTTAATACAACGTAAGTAACGTACTATTTAAATATATTACACATACAAGGTATTTTTGTGACTCACGGTATAATTTTAATATACATACATAGTATTACAATCAAAATTTCATTGACCCTAACTACTTTTTAATTAAGTTTTTAATTGTGTAGAAGGTAATTATCTTATTGAATAATTTAAATTTCTTAAATAATAAATCAATATTATTAATCATAAGATTTTGTTAATTCTCCTAGAGTTCAACGCATTCCCAAAAAACAAAATTATGTAAACAGCGACTAATTATTTTGAAGGCTTTCCTTGCCTGTAGGTATTTTATAATAAAATATCATTAGTTCATGGTCAACTTATATGTGGTGTAGCTATAAAGTTCGTGAAGTTTTTGAAGAATTTTTTGAAATCAATAAAACCATTTTTCGAGAGTTTTTATAGGGGATTTTGTATACCTACCGTTTTGATTAAGAACCAGACGTTTTATAACGCTTTCTAAAATGTTTTCAACGGTGGAGAATCCTACTACAAATACCTGTTTCTAAATATTTGTGTTTATCTTTTAAAAGATGCCCGTTTTTACCTCTTCAATTAATTTCCAATTATCATTCAGTGTTCAACACCTGATACATTGTCTTGAGATATCTACATTTATCACTAACTGGCATTAACCAGGTTGAGTTGAGATACTCTCCATGTGCTTAAAATTATGCAACGAGTCATAAAAAAACTGTTGAAATATAAATAAAACTTTTTTTAAGAATCAACGTGTATAACACCCACTGGCGAAATCGGCCGGTGTATTAACATTCTTGATTGTCAGCCAATAATAAATATTATCAATGGCACCTCAATAACAACCGATATAAGACTTCAATTACAAAAATATTTTTGCGGTTACGACGGAACGACAACAAAAGTATGTTGTCCAAACACGCTGACACTTCCTCAATCAAACAATGCAAGTTTATTACCAACAGTGGATTGTGGGCAAGCTGAAGCTCTTGTTAGAATTACAAACGGTGATAGAGCGGATTTGTTAGAATTTCCTTGGCAGGCTGCGCTTAAATACGTATCCAGTAAGATATTAGATACTTAACATAAAATTGGATAATAATAAATTTAATCGTTTCAGAAAAAGCTATTCCATATAGTTGTGGAGCATCGTTGATTAATAAAAGATATGTTTTAACGGCAGCTCATTGTATAACACCAAATCTGTATTTCTTAAACCTTTATCATCACAATTTATTATAAAACTTATTCATTTTTAGCATCGGTGTACGTTTGGGAGAATACGACTTTTTAACCCCAGTTGATTGCGTTACAATAAGAGGAGTTACGACGTGTGCTCCTCCACATCAAGATTTTGATGTCACCAAAGCGGACGCTACAATTCATCCAAGCTACCAAATTGCAACATTGGGTTTCGATATAGCGTTGATTCGTTTGCGAAAAGATGCTGTATTTAATAGTGAGATAAACTTTTTTAATCATAATATTGGGATAAAAATTTTATAATTTTTCAGAGGCGGTTAAACCTGTTTGTTTACCTATAACCGAAAGTCTTACACCTAAATCACTAAAAAATCTTCTTGTTGTTGGTTGGGGACGTACCGAATATGGTAAAAAATATTTCCTAAATTAATATTTACATTTAATCATTAAAAAATTTTAGGTAGACCCAGTTCGGTACTTCTTAAAGCAGCAGTTCCGTATGAAGAAAATAATGTCTGTATAAAACAAGTACCTGTTACAATTTTTGATTCACAACTTTGTACTAGTGTACAAGACGGTAAAGATTCTTGTAATGGAGATAGTGGTGGTCCTATTATGACAGCGGTAAATGTTAATGGTGTCATCAAAACCGTTCAAGTTGGATTGGTTTCATATGGACCAGCACGATGCGGACAATTTTATCCAGGTATATACACAAGACTGTCATCATACACTAAATGGATTATGGATAATGTAAAACCATAAAATGGAAAGATTACAATATTTACTTTTATATTATTTTTATATTAGATTGCTTCACTGTATTTTTTTATTGATTTTATTAAAGAATTAATTTTCACATTGACATAAACATTCATCAATTTTTTTTCTAGAACTACTCTTTTTTAAAATTGCACCTTCCCCCTCCTTATCGAAAAAATCTTCAAAATGAGCTTGAATAGCTTCATCCTTAGTTTTAATACACTTTCTATCAGAAACATCACTGGAATTTGAAGAATAATTTCTCAAATCTTTATACAAATTTGCCAGCAATTCTTCTCTAGTTTTCGAGTTCCTAAGCTATTTTAATTAATTTTACTATTTTGATGCGTAATTTTACTAATTTAATGTACCTTTGATTGTCTTTCGAATAAAGTAGGTTGCTGCTTAACCCGTCCAAGCATTATTTGCATCCTATGTTTGTGTTCTTCGTTTCTAAGTTTTTCTTCGTCTCTCCTTAATTGGAGACGCATCGCTAAATCTTCTTCATGACTGTATTGGAGCTCTTGCCAAACCGGTTTTTTCCTCATCACTTTTTCTTTCCATCGCGCTTCATCGCGAAGTTTAACCTCTTCCAGTTTTTTACACATTTCCAGTTCCATTTTTCGTCTTGCAGTTTGTATTCTTAAAACGGCTGCAAGATTTGATCTACTTACCGCGTCCATTGCCGAAAATGATCTATTGGTTGTTTTAGTTTCAGCGGAAGAACATTGCCTGTTATATTTATTCTAAAAAAGTATCATAAAAAATAGTTTATCAAAAAAAAGTAATTAATTACTTTCAACTTTCTTTTTGATTTATAACTTTTTGGATTTTTTCTTAAAAAATCATTTTCTAATTTTTCTAACTCTTCCAATTCTCTTTCAAGGTTCGTTATATTCTCGCCATTATTATTAATTTTTTCCCTCATTATTTTTTCTACAACTCTTTGATCAATATCGAAATCCCTAAAAGATCTTGGGCAAACAATGTATTTTGGTCTTTTTGTTTCTCGTTTAGCCATCGATGGTGGTAACGAGGAAGCTTTTAGCATTTCTTCTGATCTAATTTTTTTTTGAAGCGCTCTAGAAGAATTCGTAATTAATACATGATTATTTATAACTTTATACAAGAAGGTCCAAACAAATACGAAGTCTTTAGCAGATTTTTACCTATAAAATTCATCCTCATTCATTTTTTGATAAATATAATCACTAAAAATATGTTTTGGAATTGGTTTAGCCTTGAATGGTTTATATTTAACCGGGGTTGATTCAAGAAATATACAGGGAGAAGATTTCGATAACCTTCTAGTAATCGCTTGAATTTCTTCATCTCGTTTTGTAAACGAAAAAGGTCTCATTTGAGCCTTTAAAGCCGCTTTACTTTTCTTTTTAATCTTTTGCCTCCTCTTCTCTTGATCAGACATTATTTTATCGAATAAAGGAATTTGGGATTCAATTGGAACCGGATTTGCCCTAAACATTTCATGTTTTTCTTCTCGTTTATTCTTTTTTGTTTTTACCATAATATCATCGACAATTTTGTTTTCTTCATCTCTAAAAAAAATGTTACTTTCGGTAAAATTTTTTTTGTTAACTTAATACCTGACAGTCATTTCAAATGGTTTTGGAATTGTTATTCCATCATCTTTCCAATTTAATCCAAATTTAGATTTACAAGGACTATTTGGAGCACTACGAGTTGTTAAATTTTGATCAAAAGGACATTCATCAACGCTGCAAAAATCCCAAAACGAATCGTTTGTCGTGTTATGCCCCTTTGATCCTGCAGAAGATGAAACGTTTGCCCTAGATTTTGATCGGAAATATGGTAAATCCGGTGATTCTTCAGGACTAAATTTTTCTGACGGACTTTCAATCCTTACAGATCTCCTCGAAGGTGGTTTTATATCTTTTTCACACGATGATATCGATTCATTATCTTCTTTGTGTACGTTAAGAATTGATTTATTTGAATGTTTTCGTTTATATTCATCGTTACTTAAATTTTTGTATTCATCAATCCAATCTCCATTTCTATCAAGGTATTCATAATAATCTCTTTGTTTTTCTTTTAAAATTTCTAATCTCCTATAAAATTCTTTATTCGATAAATGATTTAATTCGTCGTAATCTGGTATACTATCGTAAAATTCGATAAACGATTTCAAAGTTTTTTCAGATGCGCCTTTCGATTTATTATTAATATTTAAACAGTCCGATTCCAAACTTAGCTTTCTCGCTTGGTTTTCCAAGTGATGTATAAACTTTTGATCGTAAACGGGAAACGGTTGTTTACTTACGGGATTTCTAGGAATTTTTAAACAGGAATTATTAAAAACTGCACTCGTATGGTCAGACATAGCGTCAGATAGGTTTTGTTAGCTATTGGAAGTTCGTGTGCTTTTGACCTTAAAAAGTAACACCATAGCAACATGCAGGCTAATCGATATGTTGTTACCAGGAGCTTTTCTTTAATAGTGTTAGTTATAATTGGAATTTTAGAAAATATCACCTGGTATTTTAAGTAAGAATGACTAAACAGAAATATTTAAAAAAAGTTTAAGAAATGACTCATTTTACTTTCTCATTTACACAAACTACAATTCATACATTTATCAATTACATACTGACCCATGCCTGACGCCTGAAATTTGAAGTAAATTTGGTTTAAATTGCTTTTTATTTTATAATGATATCTCAATTAGTTCTTGAGATACAATTTTTGCCAAGTTGATTTAAAAAAATCATCCTATTTATGGAAAATAAGAAATTATTTATGGCACATTAAATCTTCGTCAAATTTCCTTTAAAATGTTCTTTATTTCATGATGATATCTCCATTCGTTCTTAAGATACGATTTCTCAAAAATCAATTTCGACTACGTCGCCATCTACACGCAATCTTAATAACTTTCAAATTCGACGTTAAAACAGAATTCTACTTAATTTATTTATATTGTCAAAAACAACATAACCTCAACATATCAAGTTTAATAATTTAAACTAATTTGCTTCTTAAAACTACATTCAAAAACAATGTATTCGCCAAAAATGTTAAATTTTTATCGTCAATTTCTTGCAACGAGAAATACTTCATTTTTTACGATGAAAAATTTATCTACATCAACTGAAAATCATTATGATATAATAATAGCCGGTGGTGGAATGGTTGGAACAACTTTGGCATGTACTTTAGGTAATTTTTCAATACATATTTTAATAAGTCTTTTTAATTTAATAATTTCGCAGGTAAAAATCCGAAATTGTCAAATAATAAGGTGCTTCTTCTCGAAGGTTCCAAAGAAATCAAATACACACCTTCAGAAAAATATAGTAATCGAGTGGTTGCCTTGAATCCAAGTACAAAAAGCTTGTTAACTAGAATTGGGGCTTGGAAACGAATTGAAAGTGTCCGATATGGACCTGTCTGTAAATTACAAGTTTGGGATGCCTTATCAGACTCAATGATTGAGTTTGAGGAGGATGATATGAAAAAAGAAGTAGCTTTTATTGTTGAGAATAATTTATTGTTACATGCTGTTATGGAAGAAACAAAATCATTGCCTAACATTAATATAATTAATGAAGCTAAAGTAAAAAAATGTAACTTAGGTATGAACATTGATGATTTGGTTTGTGTGGAATTAGAATCAGGAAAGAGTTTTACTTGTGATTTATTGGTAAGCACAATAATTTGTGTATAAAACATTTAATTAAAACAACATATAAATTTACATTTTTTCTCTAGATATGGAACTTGTATTTGAATTAACTCGAGAAATTAATTCTTTATCGCCACATCTCGATTTATTACTTCTCCTTTTTCGTTTTTGTTTATCTTTTCTTCCTACAACCAGTTTATAAATACTTTTAATAATTTCTTTAGGAATTTTTTGTTCTCTCGGATCGTTTGGTTTGATATACAAAGCCCAATCATAATCAGATCTCATCAATAAAGCTTGTTTATGTAAACAAGCTAATAATCTGCGCGGAACACAATACAATAACTTTGAAAATAACATACTTTCTAAATGCGCAACTAATTCTGCTTGACGAACCAATCTATCCAAACCGGCGCTTCTTTGCAAACCTTGTATATCGCTAACGGCTAAACCCACCATAAGATTAGCAAGAATTATCGTCACTAAAACCACAAAAAGTAATAACATAAGATGCGCTGTGTAAGGATGAATTATAGGAGCGTCTTCGTCAAAGAAAACGTCTTCATATTCTAATTCACCAGACATCATAATGATTGTTTTTAATAAAGCATAAGCAGGATTTTTAAATGCTTTATAATTAGAACAGAGAACACCAAAACTAAGTCCAAAAGCCATAATTAACCACATATACGCCATAAGAAATTTTGAAAAGTTTACTGAAACGGTTTTAAACATTTGAATATAAAGACCAAAAATGGGAAACCTTCCTACAATCATCATCAATTCAAGCCATGTCAAAAAGATACTAATGGCTGCTACGTGATGTTGCCATTCGCTTAAATCTGACTTTAAATCATTCGAATGAGGCGATACACAACAAAAAACGCTGATTATAATTAACCATTGCAACCAATTTTCCCATTCTTTAATATAAATTAACCAACTGTGTGTTATTTGAAAGATCTCTTTTCCCATTAACATACAATTTAATATTATTAAGAAATAAGCGACGATTGTTAATGAAGTTGGGATTTCACAAGGAATATCTTTATTTGAATCATTTGTTGTTGAATTATTTACTTTTTCAATAACGCAACCTTTTAAATAAACCCCTAAAATATAAGCGGTAAACAAAAAAACGAATAAAGCGTGATAAAATAAACTGAATAAGAAAAATTTTCTTATTTTTCTCCACTTCAAAAATAAAAACGTCTCGCATAACGGATGCATTAAAATTTCTTTGTGTCCCACTTCAATGAAGTTTAACAGTAAATCAGTTTCACCGTTTGCCACGGATGGAACTAGAACCTTAAAATTTAATTTTAATTCACAATCGACGTCGCCTATCTCGTGATCGTTCAATCGAATCGAAGTGTCTAATTTAGCGCGAAATTTCGGAATTATATCCGGCGTTCTTCTTGTTATAAATGTTAAAGCTGATATTCCACCATTTGTTCTTGCAGTCATATTTGCTCCAAAACTCAATAACAACATTACACATTGTGAGAATTCGTTTAATGCGGCGAGATGTAAAGGAGTGTAACCATAAATGTCTGGTTGATTAACATCTGCTCCTGCATTTAATAGCGTTTTGGGGATATCACAAGAACGAGAAAATTTAACAATAGCGGTGTGTAAAGGTGTCCTCCCATCGATATCTCGGGCGTTTGGACTAGCTCCTCGTTTTAATAATAATTCTAAAATTTCCGTTGATTGGTATAACGTCGCTAAATGTAAAGGAGTTTGATGTTTTCGATTTTTTGACTCAATGTCCGCTCCAGAATCTAATAAAATTTCAACGCATTTCAACTCTCCATCGGCGGCTGCCAAGTGAAGTGCAGTTTGTCTTTCGGCGCCACATTGAACTGAAACGGATGCTCCGTAACTTAAAAGTAATTTTAAAATTTCTGGAGAACCCATCGCTGCTGCCACGTGTAACGGAGTTTCACTAAAAACCTAAAAATAATACACATCAAGAGGATTTTTTTATTGATGAGTTAATGTCTTTCTAGAAAGATATTTCGTCATAATTCTTTGATGTTACATTTCATTACTCACAAAAAAAATTATGAGTTCTTTACCTGCGAAGTGTATGGCAGCGCACCAGCTTCTAATAATTCTTTAATACATTCGATGGCTTCACTTTGAACGGCGTAATGTAACGGACTTTTCTGGCTAAGATTTGCGTTGACATCGGCGCCGTGTTTAATTAAAATTTTTACGCAACAAATGTGTCCTTTACTAGCTGCACAATGTAATGGAGTTACTTTAAATAATCGATCCCATTTTCTTACATCGGCGCCGTGTTCGATTAACATCTTTAAACATTCTGGTCCACCCGATACAGAAGCTAAATGAAGTGGTGTTCTAAAAAAAGTTATTTTTTTTAAATTTTCAAAGTCATTTTTTGAATGTATTTATTTACCTTCCTTTTATATCCATAACATTAGGGTCAACACCTTCATCTAAACAACGTTTAATTAATTTATCTTTTGCCAACCATGAAGCTATTAATAAAGCACTGGATAAATTATCCTTCGTGTTTATGTTATCTTTGGAAATATTTTCAAAAAGATCATCTACACCTGGTAAAGCCTGCAGGTAAATAAATATTCAAATTTAGATGAAAAATCGTAGAGATATTTATTTACGTGTAAATCTTCAACAATCTCGTTATCTTCCCAAATCTGTTGATTTATTCTGCACATTTCGTTCATCTCACATTGCGAATCAGAATCGTCCGAATCGATTTCAATCGAACTTTGACCAGAATCTTCATTTTCAACTACAGATTCTTCGGTCCAAAACGGTGTTGGTTCCTCAATTTTACCAGCTATGTGACTGTTGTTGTTCAAAACTGCTATGTTTATAGCCTAAAATAACCATATTTTCGCGTTTATAATGATTTTATGGTTTTGCACTTGTTAAAACTTTCTTGGAAGTCTTTTGTTTAAGAAATGTTTAATCAAATTTGGTCAACACATGGTAAATTACCCTTTTTATGCGATGTTAATTATAGTCTGTTACTTACCGACATTTTCCTAAAATTTTATACGATACGGTTCTCTCATCGCACCTCCGAAACCGACTGAGGCCAGCTTCTTTCCTCGAGACTTTACTATGTGTACAAATCTATATATAAAATTATAAACACACTCCACTCCGGGTATAGAAAGCGAATTCGCTTTGCGAATGTTAACGTAAAAAGTTAAATTGAGCAATAAATTTAACGATTAATGTTCTAGGGTAAGAAAACAACAAATCGGATGTACTAAGTTTGAGTTAAATTAAGAAAATGAAAAGTAGTTTAGTAAATTTGAGTACGTTATTATATCCAGATGTTGACATTCATTTTTATTTATGTCTTATCATAAAGATTCGAACATAACTTCACGTATTTAAATTTATTTATTATAGATTCCTTTGTTAAATCTTGTTTACATTACAGACACCAAAGAATTATTAGCAATATAAATGTTTTTGTTACTCGCGGAACGATTTTAACCACATATCCTAGCGCGCAAGTGACCAAGATATGAGTTTTAGAACATTTATACAACAAATTCTTAGCATATGTGCTGATAAAGTACCACTTCCTGTTACGTGATTTGATTGAAATTTTACATTTGATAATTTTTAAGCAATTTTTATGGAATTATAATTTGTTTTATAATTTTTACAATTGTTATTCTCACCTTCATTCTTTCCCCACTTACTACAAAAAAATTAAATTATTTGTTACAATGACTAAAATGATAATAAAATAAAAATAATTACAGTTAGGTTGTGATGGTGCTAACTCCAAAGTAAGAGAAGCTATGGGCATACAATACGTTTCATGGAATTATAACCAAATGGGATTAGTCGCAACATTACAATTATCCGAGACAACCGACCAAAACACAATAGCTTGGCAAAGATTTTTACCAACAGGACCAGTAGCTTTATTACCAGTAAGAACATTTTTATAAAATAAAAATGTTAAACGTGACGTTCTTATTTGCAGTTAAACTCAAAACAAAGCTCTTTAGTTTGGTCAAATACACCAGAAAATGTTAAACATCTTCTCAAACTTCCAAACGATCAATTTATAGATGAACTCAATAGTGCTTTGGTAATTTCAATACAGTGAATTTCACTTAAGATGCAGTATCCTAAAATATATTTCCCTAGAAATCAGGGCGTACCTACTTACTTAGTCCCACATAAAATGCAACATGTCAATATAATTTGACATTACTTCTAGTTTTACACTAGCACTGTTACCAGAACTAACACTATACCTAGAACTAGAATCATTCTTGTTTAGCCGCACGTCTCTCAAGACGGCTAAACCCGAATATTTCTGGTTCTAGGTCTAGTGTTAGTTCTAGTTTTGCACCAGCAGTATCACTAGAACTAACACAAGACCTAGAACTAGAATCATTCTGATTTAGCCGTCTTAAGAGACGTGCAGCTAAATCCGAATGTTTCTAGATCTAGGTCTAGTGTTAGTTCCAGTTTTAACGGTTATTCAGCGTTACATTGTAATATATTTTGATTGAACCAAATTTAGAACTAACACTAGAACTAGAAACATTGGGGTTTAGCCATGCGTCTCTTAAGACGGCCGAAAACTCATAAGGTTGTCATAAGGACGTCACCTTTTTCCAAGTAAAACTTTTCCTTTGCAAAACTACCCAATGCCTGTACTATTAAGCTATGTTGCATTTTATGTAAGACAGTGCAAGTGCATAGTATTTTTCTAACTGCGTTCATATATTGCGAATTATATGAAATTCCCGATATAACAATCATCAATCATTTAAAATTAATTTCTTTTTTTTTATTGGGAAATAACAGTTTAAAACGTTTCAAAGAAATAATATTGTTCAAGAAGCTAACAAAATCTTAGACACATTCTTTAAGCTCATAAATTTGCCGCCAAATTGTATGAGACAATTACCTCCGAGTGTTTGTGATGTCGTGGAAGGATCGAGGGCTGCTTTTCCGTTGGGATTCGGTCACGCGGCAAATTACGTCGGTAAAAACGTTGCTTTAGTGGGGTGAGAAACAGCTGGATTTAAAAACCAGCCGTGAGAACTAACCTTGAAACATTTTTTATTTCCTTTTTTAAAGAGATGCTGCTCACCGAGTGCACCCCCTTGGAGGTCAAGGTGTCAATTTAGGATTCGGCGATGTGGAATGTTTGAATGAAATTCTAAGCGAAGCCGTTTATTCGGGAAGAAAATTAGGTTAAAAAATTTTTGTAAATTGGGGAAATCTTTTGAGGTGATTTTATGAGGGTTTGTTTCTTGGCAGGTAGTTTACTTGATTTAAAAGAATATGAGACAAAGAGGCAAAGACATAATGTGCCTACAATGTTAGCTTTGGATGGGTTACAAAAATTGTATTCTACTGAAGCGGCACCTGCGGTACTTCTGAGAAGTTTGGGCCTACAAATTACTCACGCCTTGTCTCCTATTAAAGTAAGTGTTTCAAAAATTTTACCTGATTTCATTTTAATTTACCGGAATATTTTTTCCTTTTAAATGTTTTAGAGAGCTATTATTCAACAAGCCGCTCATTAGAAAATAATTACTCAAGGAAGTGGTAATCGCTCTTATTTGTTATATAGATAATTTAATTAGAATTACAATAAATTTGTACTTAACTAAAATATTTTATATGTGAGTTGTTGAATAATAAAAGAACATTAAAAATGTGATAAGTTTTGATAAATGGACTTTAATTTCTTCAAAACCTAAAAAATAAAGAGTTATAACTGAAATTTTGATTTTGTTGTTTTTATTTTATATAGAATTTAGTTTCGGCCTTTGGCAATCTTCAGAGACTTTTTCTTTTGTTAAAAAAGATCACATATCAAAGTCGAAAATCGGATTATTAGTTACAAATTTACAAAATTAAAGTTTTAAAAACTTGTAAAACAAAATTAAGGACGAAGTGTTACAAGTTTACAGGTTAAAATTTAAGAACGTTCTTTAATTTATAATTATAATATATAAACATCATCATAAAAAATAACGTAACGTATGCAAAATATAATACTTTAATTGCTTTAATGTCTATAGGATTTTCTGTTGTTCTAAGCACAAAGCAAAGCATACGCCAAGCTTTGGAAACCATCCTGCCAACGTGTTTCTCAATGGTAAGTTTTTGGTCAAATATCACATAAAGATCTCTAATAAGCGATCAACATGGCTGCGCCCCCATGACCATAGTCGAATTTAATTAATTATTTGATAACATAAGGATCATTGACTGTTATGATAACAAATTAGGAAACCTTTTTACTAAAGTTAAGGATAAGACTGATAACAATTTTAGATCCAACTTGATTTATTGTGTTTCATGCAAGGGTTGATATGGAAAGTATGTTGGTCAGACCAGTCAGTGGTTGAAGAGTAGAATCTCAAAACATGCAAGTGACTGCAAACTAAAAAAGTTCAGTATTGCTTTATCCCAACACGTTTTGGAGTGCGGACATGAATTTGATTTTCGGGATGTAAAAATCTTGGATTCAGAAAGTAATTATCATAATAGGCTGTTCTTGGAGATGGTACACTTCAATTATACACAGAATGCTGTAAATTTTAAAACAGATACTCAAAACCTTAGCAACATTTATGCTTATTTGTTTGCCTTAGATAGGTTTAACCACAATAATTCACCCAACTTACAAGGTTTTAGTCCTAATAACACCTTAACTTTCTCCAATGATATGTTTTTTTTAGTTTGTTAATTAGATTTATATTAATTAATTAGTGCTAAATTAATTAAAGTTGAAGTTTAGAGATTCATTTTAAATTAAACTTATTATTTATTTCATGTTCATTGTTTGATGAATTTTTGCTTTACACTGTATGAACATCATGAATTTTTGGGATTTGTGTTCTCACTCCAAAAAAACAAGTTTTCCTTTTTTACATTTGACGGTCGTGCGTCTTGCATCTGCTTGTTCCACGTTTTATTTTTAAATTTTTCGAGTTTTTAATTGTGTTCATTATTCAATTTTGATTATTTTTTAAATTTTAACATGTTTTTGATCAATTTATTGTTGACGAATGTTGAGATTTTACGCCACTTCCAGTTACAAGTAAGATATATTTTTTGCTTCTTAAATATGGTTGCTTGACTGGCTTGACTTACTTGAAGATTGTAACCAACAATCGAAATATTAGCTATTTTAAAAAGTTGTTTTACTTTTATTCCTGAATTTAATTATGTTCAACTTTCTTGTGAAAGAAATTGTATAACATTTGCTCAAATTGAGCGTAATTAAGTTCGAGTCACAGTACTGTTGCAAAGCGTCAACGTCACGCTGCAATCCAGAGTTTTTCAAAACAACAAATATATCATTAATGTAAATATTAAACAAAACTGCCCTGCGGTACACCCGAAGGCACTGAAAAGGAACTAGATTTAAGTCCTTTGATTAACACTATTTGAGTTCTTCCCCGCATATAGGAGGCTAACCATCTGACCAAGTAGCCATCGACACCAAACTGTTGAAGTTTTGAAATTTACAGATTATGGTCAAGTCGGTGAGTCAGCTCAACTCGGTCGAACTTGCTGAACTCTGTGTAAATAGCGTCTACTTGGATAGATTCATCCATAGAACGTAATATGTAATTGCTATATTCTCACAAGTTACTCTCGACCGAGCGAACCGTGTTGTCTGAAATCGATTTGGTTTTTGAGCATGAAAAATAATCTTTTGTATATAAGTTTTTCAAGTAATTTGCTAAACATATCGATTTTGAGCAAATTACTTGAAAAAATAATGATATAGGTCTATAGTTAATAACTTTGCTACGATCGCCAGCTTAAATGCCTGCTTCCAGACACGCGGAAAAACACCAGACTGAAGGAACTCCAGGCTTTCCTAATTTTCAGATTTTAAATAATCTATCGAATCTCATTTATTTTGACATTTTGGAAGTTACTGTTCAATACCGGATTATAGTTTTCGTTATACAGGGTGATTCACATAAGAACCGACACAGAGCAGGAATATGTAGAGGACAATAAATTAAGATGATTTAACGCAACTTATCTCTATACCAAGTTGTATCCCTGAGGAGTTATAGGCCTTCAAAGTTGAGTGTTAAATTTTTAAAACATTGAATATCTTCGTAATACAGTAAGCTAGATATACCAAATTTGGTATACGTTATGAGTGTACCAAGGGTATTAATTGGTAGCAAGTTGAGATCAATTGAGGCATTTTAAAGGGTTGATTATGGGTGATGGTACCCTAAATTTTGACAGATCTTTTTAACCTTTTGACGGATTTAATACATTATTACTTCATTTCATGTGGAATTTAATTCTATAACATTTCTGTGAAATTGTACGTCAAACTTGACAAATAGGTTATAAAACCTTGATGTCAAATGATTTTATAACCTATTTGTCAAGTTTGACGTACAATTTCATAGCCGACTACTGAATTTTCGCTTATTTTAAGTAACATTACGAAATAAGTGTCTTTGGTTATTTAAGTTTTTTATGAAAACGACAAAGTTTTTTAAAAAATAATAAGAGTAAAAAAAGTTTTAGAATTAAATTCCACATGAAATGAGGTAATAATGTATTATATCCACTAAAAGGTTAAAAAAATCTGTCAACATTTAGGGGACCATCACCCTTAATCAACCCTTTGAAATGCCTCAATTTGCTACCAATTAATACCTTCGGTACACTCATAACGTATACCAAATTTGGTTTTTCTACCTTAATGTATTACGAAGATATTCAATGTTTTAAAAATTTAAGACCCAACTTTGACGACCTATAAAACTCTATAATAACTCCTCAGGTGTACAACTTAGTATAGAGGTAAGTTACGTTAAATCATCTTAATTTATTGTCCTCTACATGACCCTGCTCTGTGTCAGTTCTTGAATCACCCTGTATATCACAGAAGTGATGAAATTTGGGGTGCTGAAGATGTGGGACTGAATATTTTCTCCAGATATTTTGCAAAACCAGTACTTTTCTGTTGATTATCAATATTTAACGTCTATTTCATTAGATTTTCTCGTGATTCCTCTTGTTGGTTTCTATATTTCTTGACTATTGGGTTCTATGTTGTTAAACAAACCTAAAAACATAATTAAATTGCGTTTTATATTCAATTAATCAATGTAAACAAAAACACATTTAAGTACATACATACGTAGAATATATTCTATGTATTTTTTCTAATTACTGTTTTTAATTCCTCAAAAAATATTTAAGATGATCCTTAAAATTGATTTAACCTTTTCAAAATGTCATCAAAAAGCCTTTAAACAAAAATCCTCAAAAACATTTTAATAATAATAAATTTCCAGAGAAAAATACTACATTCTAGAACGCTTTGTTTTGCATCCAAGGCATCTGTCGTCCGTTGGGTCATGACGTCTACAAAAATCTATAGCAACGAAATTGCGTTAAACATTAACAAAAACATTTCTAGAAAGAAATACACCATCATTCCATTAAAAATACTATTTTATTCAAATAACCAATAACCATTTTTTCATAACATTAACATTTACCCGATTTTTTTAAACATTTTACCCGTACTACTTTTTTTACGCGACGTAGGAATACACTTTCTGAAGGTGACCGAGGTATAAAAGGCTCCGTTCGCTGCGCGTCATTCGTCATTCCAAGCGCAGCGTTCAAGTGAGTACGAGTCGTTTCCAGAGGAAGTCCCCTTCAAGAAGATTTCGTCGAACTTGGGCGTCGTCCATCGACTTTTTTTAAAAGGTGTGTTTTACTTCTTAAACAAAAACCTCTTTCTCGATTATGGGTTATCCACAAATGCCGAGGAAGACCTGTAATACCGAAGATTTAATCGCGTGGATTACGAAATTCAAGACGAAACGTACGTTGGTTAGACAGAAAAGGTGCCGAGATCTTCTGATGGAAACCGTGCTTTCCAATGCGTTATTCGAGGCTCAGCGCGAGTTAGATTTTAAGCAAAAATTAAGAAAACAAAAATGGCTGGAGAAGAAGAAGGAAATGGAGCGGCCGTTAGATGCGGAGGAGATGAAATTTTCGAATTGGGAGAGATACGGAGATTTGGCAAGCTTGGACCAATTTTTAACCGATTTGAGTCAAATTAAAGTTCCCGTTAGATAATGATTATTTTTTCTCTTTAAGAAAAAAATCAACTCTGCAAGCTGTGATGTAAGACTGTGATATTATGAAGGATTTTTCTCTTGCAGTCTCTATCCCGAAGGACTTGGTCGTTTGGGGTCTTTGGGTGCCAACGGATCTCACTCTGACACTACTGTTTGGTTTGTAAATGTATCATCCAATTTTATTTTTAAATTGGCTTTCCTAAAGATTCAAGTTAAATAATCCTTCTTTTTTCTTGTATATTTGAAATTTAAAAAAATTTAATAGTAATAAATAAATACAAATAATATCAATTTGGTGTTAATTTGAGTGATTTATTTCGATTCCCTTCGTTTTTACTTTTTATTAATCTGTTTGAATTTTTATGTGAAGAGGAGAGAGAGAGGAAATGGCGAAGCAAGGTGTGGCAAATTTCGAGAGGGCGTTGCAACCGTTCGTGTTTGGAACGTTGAACCTGAGGCTTAGCTTCGCAAACTGGTAACGAAAAATACCATGGACAGGTTTTTTTAAAATTATTTTTGTTACAAAAAAGAAAAATCCGTCTTTGA